GTCTCAGATTGGACTTGTGAATGAGGACTTGCCGGGCTTGGTGCTTGTCTTGCAGATGCAACACAATCTCTTGCAACTCCTTGAGCCGTTGCATATCCCTCAGCCTCTGAATGCATTTGCTCCTGCACTGTTGCTGGATGGGGTTCAGCAGTACCACGTGAAGTTGCTGATGCAATCACTTCTCTTGCGACACCTTGAGCAGCAGGGTAGCCGTCGGAGCCTGCTTCCTCTTTCAATTGGTGCATATCTGATCGAGCCTCCACTTGACTCGAGGGGATTTCATCCATGGAGTGTTTGGAATTTGAGGCAGCACTGGAATCAGCCAAATGAGGCTCAATTGCTCTCCTTGCAATGGATCGCGCAGCAGAGTCTGTGTTCTCAGATTCGAGCTGGGACACAGGACTAGCACGCAAATGCCCCATGCTGGCATTGGTTACTATATCTCTTGCCACATCTTGCACGGCCTCATCACCTGCAATAACAGACGGGATTTCATCCATCGAGTGTCTAGTATGTGAGGCAGCACTGGAATCAGCCAGATGAGGCTCGATTGCTCTCCTGGCAATGGACTGTGCGGCTGAGTCCGTTTTCCCAGATTCAAGCTGGGACACAGGACTAGCACGCAAATGCCCCATGCTGGCATTGGTGACTATATCTCTTGCAACGTCTTGCATGGCCTCATCACCTTCAATAATAGATGGGATTTCATCCATCGAGTGTCTAGTATGTGAGGCAGCACTGGAATCACCCAAATGAGGCTGAATTGCTCTCCTGGCAATGGACTGTGCGGCTGAGTCCGTCTTCCCAGATTCAAGCTGGGACACAGGACTAGCACGCAAATTCCCATGCTGGCATTGGTGACTATATCTCTTGCTACGTCTTGCATGGCCTCGTCACCTTCAATGATGGACGGCACTTGACCATCGGAATGTATTGGTGAGGCAGTTGACTCTGCGAAGTGGCATTCGATTGCATTCCGTGCCTTAGTTGTACGGTGGCGGATAGAAAGCCCACGAGGATTGGCCGATGACACTGCTGTAGGGACCTGCTTTGGGAGGGGTGCAGTAGGCCGGCCTTCTTATTGTGTTCAAAAATGAGATATGCCGGATATCGGTCTTGTTCGCATACTGACGGGTCGCTTTGAGCGAGATTGAACTCACACCCTTGATGAAGCTCAAGAGGTGGACCAGTAGTTTGGGCACCAAGCAAACATGACTTTGCAAAGCGACTCTGGTTTGGTTTATGTCCAAAACGCGACTCTGATGCGCCTGCTGTCTGGACAATATTACTTACTAAACCCACCGAACACCCAAGCACCTGCGGGTTGGATGTGGCAAAGTTTGCCAGCAAAACGACCCTCATCAACAGCTTTGAATACCCGTGTATATATATATATATACAGTCAGAAAACAATAAACCCTCCATCGGGTCTTCCAGAAGTATCCCACTGAAGTAAAGGAAGTTCCTTTTCGGGTGCCTGAAGACGATGAAAGGCTGCATCAATAGCCCGAGCTGCCATGGAGCGTGCAGCATGAGAATGGCTGCTGACCTGTTCGCTGATGGAGTTGGATGAATTTCTGTTATTTGGTGATCTTCGGTTTCGTGAAAAAGGAAACGACATGAAAAACGGGGTTCCCACAACCTCCCAAGTGGGGCTAGGAGATTGTTGGGACCGGAACAAGCAGCAAACCAAATCGATAGAGAAAAGCAGCAAACCTTCCGTACATGCATGCGAAGGGTGTCCATCCAATCTTGCTGCACTCGTAGAAATGATAAAATTAGATGATCCCTCATGGGTACGGTGTATCAGCAGTTTAATCAAGCAGGATGCACATTGAACCACAACTTGGGACTTGAGTGTGTCCTGAAATGAAATAATTGGATGGTATGGGGCAAAAGACCTGGAGCTCAGGTAGAACAAGCCTCCCAGGCTGTGTGTTGTTTCGAATATCTGACTTCTCTTGGAAGCGTTCGATCTGCTGTTTGAAGCTCCCCAGATCTTTCAACTCTTCGCGCTGCACTAGTAGAAAAGAATACCAAATACCATCCAATATCGTGTTGCTGGCTGCACTTCGCTCCATTCCAGGTTTAACCTCCACTCAGTTTGAGTCGAAGTATTCACCCAAAAACTGCACAGGCACCAGTCTCAGGGCAAGTTCTCCAACTCAAAGGGTATACTTCCTGGCGGTTTTGTGACCAGCCACCTCCATCTCTCCCAAGGCACCCAGCCACCTTCATCTCCACACCGCCCATCCCCTCGACCTCCGAAACCATCAGCTCTGATGCCGAGCGTGGCGGCGTGGAGCACGGCGCGGGGCGGAAAGGCACCGCCGCGCGGATCACGTCGCGGGCGAGGCCGGCGCTGGCGTCAGCTTCCGAAAGGCGCTCCACCTGCCACGGGATAATACTAATACAATCATAATAATACGATATATATATATATACACAGTATATATAATAGCCTCCAACCTATAGTAGCAACGGTCTCCAACCTAGTAGCGATGGCCTCCAACCTATAGTAGCCATGGCCTCCAACAAGCTAAGAGCAATGGCCTCCATCCTATTTAAAGCTATTTCAATCTGTTCCACACCAAGTCTGTGGAACATGCGGATCCCGGCACCCGATTTCAGGGGTACCTCCTCTTGGAATTCACACTCCACCCACCAGATCTAGACTTCTTCCCAACACGAAGTCTCATCACCTCGGGCCTCCGGAGACATCCGGCCCGGCACGGCCGCACCCCAGGCCGCACCCGCAGCCGCGGCGTCCGCGCCCGGAGGCTCCGCGTCCCGGGCGTCAGCGGCCGCGGCGCTCGCCACCTCCGTGGGCGGCTCTGGAGAGTCAAAGAGGCGGCGCACCAGCGAGTGCACGTCGCTGGAGGCCGGGCGATCGCTGTGCGAGTGCACCTGGCGCTTCCGGAAGCGGCCCTCGCGAGTTGGAATTCCGGTGTCGGGCGTGTTCCAGTGTAGTTCGCGGAGGAGGTCGTTTTCGTGGGAGTACCGGGAGTTCAGCGAGAGATGACTGGGGACATCTGGGACCTTCTTTTTTGAATCCACAGTTTCAGGACCTACCTCTGCTGCTGCCTGCTTGGTGCCCCACCTCGGAGGCCTGCGCCTCGGGACGCTCCGTTCCGGGCCGCTCCGGCTCCGCGGAGCTCGGCTCGACGACGCGGACGCAGAGCTCGTGCGCCAGGACGGAGCGCACATCCTGGCGGGCGTGCGGTTCCGGTGATGGAGATAGTGACCTCCATCTCCAAGCGGAAAAGTGACGACCGTGATGACCCAAGAAATGCAACAAGGGAAATGGTGAAAAAAAAGAACTAGTTTCACTTGGTTTCACAGCCATGTCCAAACACATCAACATGCATGCAGCATGCGTGGTCAACTCTGGTTCGTGAGATGATCCTCTTAACAGGTGCTTTTGCATCCGAACCTGGGCGGCATGGCGTGGTGGTGGAGACCCGTCGGACTGACGCTTCGACCAGGTCGTGACCCAAAATGGGTGTGAATCAGCTCTTGAATTGAATTGGCTTGGGCTTCTTGATGATCACTTTTACACTGCTTGGATGAAACTAACTTGGGGGGGGGCGACTCATCATCTGGTGAGAGAAGCATCCCGCCTCGTCATCTGGTGTGCCTCGATAGGTCTGCGCCCGCGAGCCTGCAGGTGTGCAGCCAGGAACTCTCATACCACTCGTAAACACCCTGGCATAAGTTGATAACTCCTGCACCTCTAGCCCAAGCTAGAAACACAAAGTTTAGTTGAACACTCATCAAATGCAAGGTAAAGTATACGAAACACCGAAAGGCACACAAACGCCTTGTTGTTTGCATGGAAAGCAAGTCTTCGGCTTCCAGTCGAGTTCAGTATATCTTTCAGACCCTCAATGAATGTCTTGCTCGTGTCTGGCATGTCCCAGATACCTATCTTTTAGAGTACAATGGATGAATGAAGCATCTTGAATAGTCTGCACGATGAGGACTCTAGTTAGGCCCTCCTCGTTCGTCAAAGCAACCAAAAGAAAGCAGAGCAACAATACGATCCATGAAAAACATGCAAAGAAAAGACAACCAACCAACAAGCCAGAAACATGTAAAGAGAACAGCAAAAAAGAACGCGAACCTTTTTGCAATGTTCATCATCTGAGTCCTGTTTCCTTCTTCATCCTCTTTCCCTTCCTTCCCTCATTTCACCAAAAGCCACTTACTTCGATCTCGTGCCTTGCGACTCCACCTCATCCGCCTCAGCGCTGGATGCAGATGGGTGCGCACACAGCGGCATGTCCACGTCCACTCACCAGATGGTGACAAGACTGCCCCAAGCAGTGTTACCACGTCCAGTTCCAAAACGCGTGGTCGTTCATTCCGTTCATTCCGTTCATTTCGTTCATTTCGTTCATGGTTTTAGATCATGGGTGGATATCAAATGATCTAAAATCCGTTCATTCCGTCTCACCCGCTGGTTCACATCGGTCGGGTCCGATGTTCAGTGTTCGGCTCACCTTCGTTGAGCAAGTTGGACCCCCTTTGACGTTCGGCAGGAGCCTCTTCAGTTTCTTCCGGAGGGTTGAACGAACGATCCAACACCAGTGGTTCACAAAAGGAACGCTGCTTTGGTTTGTTGGGAGACTAAGGGAGCCATCAGGGAGAAATCAGGGATACATCGAATTCATCCAGGTTTGCGGACCTCTGGCAAGTTGTGTGTGTGGACTGATCAGAGCCAGTGCAAGCCTCAGAGGAGGGTGAAAAAACACGGAGATGGGCGTCCTTTTTCCTCAGCTTCCCCCAAAGTCCCCAAAAAAGGATCAACTCCCCACTGGCTGACCTCAAGCTAAGATGCTCCAACCCCTTGATCTTGATCCCAAAAAAGAACGCAAAAGACCGGTCTTCCTTCACCGGATGTCTAGGACTCTATGACCTAGGACTCGGGCTCTACGGGCTGCACAAAAAATGACAAGAACAATCCAACCGACCAACCGACCGACCAACCGACCGAGGCGCCATGAGTTCCCTCATCAAGTCCTTCGCCAAGATCTCTTGAGCTTCACCCAGCCCTGTGTCATCACTCACGATCGGCTCCAATCGCCGGCGGCCTGGAGACGGTCGGAGAATGCCGCCAGTTTGGCATTCGGGCGAGAAACAAGAACGAGGTGGTCAGGACACTTCGGTGGTCGTTTCCCTCAGCCCTTGGGGGCTAGACGCAGCTGGACCCACGTCCCAAAACCTGAAGGTAATGCTTGGCAAACGCAACCGTGAAAGGCCACAAGGTCGTCCCACGTCCATGTCCAAAGTGCCAACTGTTCGGTGTACCAGCTGATTGCGCTCCGACCGAACACTAGAGGCTCAGTTTCTGAGTTTTTGTTGGGCTCTGATTGGCTCTGACCGCCACCGCTGTGACCTGCACGACCTGATCCTAAAGCCGCCACGACAACGCCGAGAACACGCTCGGGGCCTTTCTTCGTGAGCCACTGACGATTGGGGCTGCTCCATCCTCGGCCGCGGCGGTCCGGGCCGAAGAAGAAAGGCCCATCAGGGGCTGAACTCGGGCCGACAGGTTCCCAAACCTCCATCTCTATATGTGTGCTTCCGGGAGTTTTCTGTTCCAAACGCAAGAAGAATGACCGCGTCCGTGGGTCCAAACATGTCAAAACCAAACTCTCTTCTTCTCGGAGGTCCGTTCTCCTGAGTGGGATGAATGCTCGGCCTGCACTTCGTCTGGCCTTTCGTGGTGAGGAAACCGTGTGAGGTCTCACTGACGGAGATCGCCCTGTCAAGCTCCTTCCGCTCATCCGGCGTCCAAAATCCAAAAGCCCGACATTCACCAGTTGATGACCCTTTTGGGGTACCCTCCAGGTTGACAAATCCAAATCTCAAGCACCAAACGATCCCAATCTTCCCAATCACATCCAATCGATTCCACCAGAATGAGTCCTTCTTCAGTACCAAAAGAGCCGATTTCGGCGAACACCCCAATGGCCCTTAGGTGGAGCACTGATCCTTTGGGGAAAGGCTGGATCCACTCGAGACCCACCCCTATGGCCCCTCTCAGACTGGATAGGACGGAAGCGCACCGGATCGGAGGCGCAGCGGCATCGGATCGGGTCAACACAAGGTATCCGAGTTTTAACGCACAGCCCCAATCAGCGTAAGGCTTCCGGTCGTCTCCAGGGCACGCTCGTCCGCGAGGGTGATCCGCATCTTGTTCAAGCGCGGCAGGCGGCCTTGCACCTGACCGCGAGAACAACAGCGAGGTGAGGTGGGCATGACGGCATGTTTTGAGGGACAGGCCATTCTGTCTGTGTTGAGGTATATGTTGAGGTAGAGGTGTGTGCGTGTGTGCGTGTGTACGTGTCTGTGTGTGTGTGTTTAAAGTAGAGGGCATGCAGTTCTGTGCAAATACCCCTGCTAGTCGGAAGCAGAAGAGAGATCCAGTGGCCAATGGTTCGTGATTCCCTCGTGTTGAGACAAGGCCAAGTAGTTCGGGAGAAAGGTCAACCGTCAAGTGACCTCCGAAGTCCAGATGCACCCTCTGCCCCGTTCTTCAGGTCCAAAAAAGGGGGAGACCCTCCCGCTCTTTCTCGGGCATTGAGTGACCTTTTGGGGGGGGCCCAGGGTTGAGTCTCAGTCTCTTGGGCTTCTGCACCCACCACTTACCACCACCTCCTGCCGTTCCCCCCGGTGGGTTCCTGTCCCGACGCGTCGTGTCTCGTCTTCGCCTTTCGCAGCTCCCGCTTCCATGGCAACGGCACCTGACGGCCGATGCCCGGGTGACGCCGAAGTGCTTGGGACTTGACAGGGCCCGGAACCCTGGAGATGGGGGAGGTTCGGGGTTGGCTCCTTGACAGCTTGAGGGAGAGAAGTGGCCTTCGCCTTCAGACTCCCAAAGCGACAGGAGAGACGGAGGGGATCAGGGGCGCTATCGCAGTGGCCTCCGGATGTGCTGGGGCTGCTTGAATCAATCAGGTTCCATCGAATGAAGCCAGCCTTGAAAGACTGGCAAAAACTGGGAGTCTACAAACCCAGTCCATCTGTTTGGGGTTTACAGCAACCATATGGCTTTCCAGTCCTGCTTACATCTACGCCTTTCTTCAGTTCTCTCTGGATCACCCAACACAGAGTTCATCAGCGCTGTCTCACCAGCGAAGGCCGGTCATCTGCTTTGCAAAAGCGGATCTGAAGAAGTGGAAGATCTCAAAAGACTTCCGTACATATCATATGGCCCGGGGTTTCAGAGGCGCAACCATGATAATTGGCAACTCCAAGTACCACAAGTATGCAGTGAGTTTAGAAGAAGTGGCGCAAACTTAAGCCACAAGCCCTTCTAGATGCATATTCCCCTGGGACCACCTCTTGCGGTGAGACAGTGCGAAAATTGCATAAAATTCCTTCGTTCATCTTCATTCATCCAATGACATCGTATCTCACCAGGCATCATATCTCGGTATCTCGCCTGCGGGCAGAACTCGTCCGGGGGCGGCTTCGGCGCGGAGGGGCGCCGGAAGTGGCGCCGGGGCGGCGGCATGGCGCAGATGCGGACCGATGCTCCTTCTTCGGTAGCCTTCGGAGGTGGAGATGAAAGACCCAACGTTGGGGCCGGTCGTTTTCGGATTGTGGGCGGGTAAATTCGAAAGCTGTCGTGCTGTTGGTTTGGGGTGCTGGCACCTCTCATGTGATGTCGACAAGCTGTCGCGTCCGCTTTGCGCAGGTGGACAAAGAGGTTCAGGTGACAAGTCATAAGCCCTCGATCTGTCTGGCCACATGTCAATGAGTCATTCCTTTCTGATTCTTGCAGCCGTCCAAGACGAGATTCAGCACGTGCTGCAGTTCTGCATCATCTCTGAACCGTTTCCCCAAGGAGTCTCCCCGAGTTTCCAAGAGTCTCCAATATGGTTCGTAGTCCATAAAACAACCACTGTAGCTCTTCAGCGCCATCCACAAACCTGCAGTCTTTTTGTTTTTCCTCGCTCCAGTTGAGCGAAGCTTGCCGGACACGCCAGCTGCACGGCCTGAGGAGGCAGGTGCTTGCTGGTGAAGGGGCTCGAAACGTGGTGACCACCCGCCACGAAGGACGCCACTGCCAAGTACCAGGCTTCAACCTGTCGCACCCCTCACGCTCCCAGAAGTCACCCCACCGCATGGCACACCAATGGAAAGAAATGAAATGATTATAGGCTGTCGTCATAAGTTATAGACGCTATGAGACTATGAGTCTGAGATACCTTGCAAACTGGGCGCTAAGTGTTGTACAAGTATATATGATGTTCCGTCTGAAAAAGATCAAGTCGCTTCCACCTGAACCACATGCGAACCCAAAAAATCCAAAAAAATATATACCTGTTGAATATCAAACCTCTTGGCAGGTCCATCTGTCGACTACAATAAACGGTCTGGCGGAATCGCCAAGTGCCCGGCATTTTCGGCATCCCTGACTGGCATACGGCGCCCTGCCAGCGCTGTGCGCTGCCAGCACTCATCCACCTAGCCGCATTTGAGAAAGTGTCTCAGGTCATCTCTACGGAGAGATAGGTTGGGTCTATCCCATGTAATGGGACAAACCCTGAGATAGGCACCGCGCTCATTCATTCGCGGAGACCTTGTTCCTAAACCAACCCCGCAAGACCTCAACAACGCCTGCAGCGTCGTAGTACGCCGCCATGTCCACCGTGCGCGGCGCCGGTGGTGAACCGGGCGCATGGCCACGGCCAGGGTGTAGGCCTACACGCTTGGCTGCTTGGCAGGTCAGCGGAAAAAGGATCCTGGAACACCGACAATGGCACCCTCCCGATATTCACTTGGACCCTGCCCCACTCCCTGCAATCCTATGGGCAGGTGATGGTTCTGTCAGATGGGGGAAGTACCCAATCCGTTGCGAGTTTGACTGTGCGGTCGGTGCATCAGTCTTTCATTGAAGCCTTGTGAGGGTAATTGGTAGAGCTCCTTCATCTGCTAAACAATCTGGGTAGGGGGTCCCAAGCTTTGCAGGTGCCGACAGGCTGCGGTCTGCGGCTGTGTTGATCGAATGCGAACAACGCGGTCCACCGTTCCATCCATTGGATCAAAACGCCCACCCTCACAGCTCTGCAACGCTTCCATGACAGGAGAACATCGCGTCCAACAAATGTGGGTGTTCCCTCGCCAGCCTCAGCCCTCCGACCCTTCCGCCTGGGCGATAGGCCGGCAAGCCTGGCCGCTGGAGGCGTGAGATGCACCGCCGACCAGGCGAGTGTTCGGCGGCATTGGATGAGAGTGCCTTTTTCTGGTCAGTGTTTCATTGGCTTGGAGTCCTTGACGTGGCTTTGCTTGAGTTGAAACTGCCACTCTTATGGGAAGGTATGATCCTTTTGTAAGTGTTATACCGCGAAATGGCAGCAACAACAACAACAACCATTTGGGTATAGCCGCCGCAACATTTCCACTGTCACCCATCTGCTTGGAAAAAAGACAGTGAATTCTTCTGCATGATGGGTGTCGTCTTGCTTCTCTTTGGAAGTGTGAGCTGCTACCAGTACAGGGCCCGCGACATGGTCTTCGGCCATGTACTGAGAACCCCGGTCCCAAGGGGGGAACCTTCCATCAAATACGTGGCCGCCATCTCCACATCGTCGTAGGCATACTCCAACGCTCGTTGGACCTGGCAACAAGACCAAGACACCCGAGCGCTCGGGCTTTGCAGGTGCGTGGCCCTGGGCGAAACGGAGTGTGTACATGCGGTGAAACGAAATCCTGAGCCACAGCATGTTACTGAAGTGGCTTGTTGTTTTGTGTCTTTTTTTTCAGTCCTTCGCCTGTCAGGTACTGCAGCTAGTGGCCCCTACCGACAGTTCAAGGCTTACAAAAGAAACATCCAGAACAACCCCACACCACACAATTCGCACTTGTTTTGTTTCAGCCATAGAAAACACGGCATAAACAAACGAACAATTGTACCCCCCCAAAACGAAAGCAACGGCCATCCTTGAAGGGAATTGAATGTTTTGACTCCCAGGCCCTAGCTTCGACTCCCAGGCCCACACCTCCTCTTCAGAGAAGCCTAGCGCCGTGAGCGTCTCCACCTCACGGCGCGCGGATCGGAGTTGACTAGACGCACGACGGGAGGTGGCCGCAGGGTGCGACACTCGTTCCATGTGGGAGAGGAGCCAAAACCAAGCGCCCCAAGCACCCCGAAACCATGTTCAAACTGGTCAACGCATCAAGGGCGTCTAAGTTATCTAAGTGAAACGACTGGTCTGTTCACCACATAAAGTCTGTGACTATCCATGTTGCACTTTGTAGAGACCGTGTCCTGTACCTGCCCGGTTGTGGAGACAGGCGATGCAAAAGGAAAGTAGGTTTGTACGCATTATAGTCCACCTGCAACCCATCTGACACCTGTTTTCTTACAAAAAGAGACATGTTGAATCGCTGCCGGTTCATAAGGGTCACACAGGTTCCAGGTGTACATTGCTGTATATGTGTTCAGTGGCTTGTCTGCAAATGAGGGACGCTCAACAACTTGGAGTTGATCTACTTCACACCCGGTGTTTTGGATCTATGGCTTGGCTCTGGAAGCAACCCAAGCGCCTCGATCGACGGCTGTGGAAGGTCGTTCTAGGAGAGAACCAGGAAAAATGACCTACAAACGTCAAGGTTCTATGAGGGCCGGCCGCGAGTCACCCAAACCCATCAATTCTGGTTGCTGTCCACTTTGCAATTCTATCACTTTGGTGGTTGAACCAATCCTACATTCTGGATTCCACACGGCTAAATGATGCTGCCTTCATGTCCACCTCCCATCCACTCGTCCCTGACAGAAGATAGCAATGCTTGGTTCTGGGCTCCCGGCATGGCTTCGGATGGCGGGGTTGGCTGCGGGCAACTTCAAGAAGATCTCATCCGCCACGTCGCGGACCTACCAGCAGAACCTACCCCCTCCACCAACACCCCCCCACAAGCGGAAGCGGAAGCTTCACTGCCCGGTTTCCCACGGACACCGCGGGAAGGAGGGGATCGACACGGACCGCGGGGAAGACGACCTGGCCCTGGGAGCCTGGAAAAAACTGGGAAGGCCTCGTGATCACCCAGACAGTCCGTTTAAACCGGTCCCTCCAGTCTTGTGCTGATGCATTGTAACTAGGTCAAATCAGTCAAATCCATTGGCACATTGCGGGTTTTGGGGGCGTCAGTGGGAGGTCAAAAAAGGGCTGTACAAAGGTGAGTTGAGCTTCAAAACTATGGCATCCTTCCTTAACCAACAATCCTTCTGGAAAGCATCCAGCCAGATCCCCTGTGCTGCACCTCTCGAAAGATCTCGCCCCCATAGCACTGCACTCCAGGATCCTGGCGCGTGCGAGGAACAGCACGCTGAAGGTTTAGATTGATGATGATGATGATGATGATGAGGAGGAGGAGGAGGACGACGACGACGACGTTGATGATGTTGAACTCTGCAAGCTTATATAAAAGGCTCAGGTGGTTCCAATCTTGACAGCTTTTGATCCAGCCAATCGCACTGCGTTCCCTTTTCGTCGCCTTGAAGTTGTTGCAGACTTGCCCCAGGTGCGCTCGGGCCAAGGACCGAAGATAGTGAACGCCCCATGACCTCAGCGATGGGCGAGGGAGGTGGACCTGGCACACCGAGTCATCGTGCGCGGTGGACCTGGTGGAACTGGTGAATTCGGTGAATTCGGGCCACCTGGTAAATGCCTAGATCAATAATCCCTACCCAGTATGCAGGGGGGGACCTGAAAAAATGTAACTTACATTTTCCTGTTCGAGGGTGCCTGGAAAATGTAAGTTACACTTTCTCAGAAAACCCTGGAAAATGTAAGTTACAATTTCCTGGCATCCACAGGCAGAAAATGTAACAATCTGCAAAAAATGTAAATTACAATTTCCAGGCAGTCTGCCTGCAACTGTAACTTACATCTTGAAGGTCATAAACTGCAGCATGCTGTAGCAGTTTTTCCCTCTGCGCTTTTCGCAAGTGCCCACCTGCTTGTGTGTTGCCTGGGGCACACTTAGTTACATTTTTTATCACCCAACCACTGCCCAGCGTTCTCCCTGCCAGCCACAGCTGGTCCAATTTCTACTGTGGAAGTACAAAGAGGATAAGAAAACATGTAAGTGAGTTCTGGGTAGGCATGAAATACTCCATTATCACATATGGTTCCCTGTCCTGTGTGCCACGGGAGGGTTTGCTTCCAGCATCCTTCTTTCAGCATCTCTCAGTCATTGGCCCACCACACTACAAGAAACGCTTGGCCATCCCCTCTCACACCTCCCAAGCCCAAAAAGGAAAAAAAACTTCACAAAAGGACCATAATAAGTGTAACTTACTGTTTGTCCAGGGCTTGAAAACTTGCATGTTTACCTGCTTGTCTGTTGCCTGGGGCGCACTTAGTTACATTTTTTTATCACCCAACCACTGCCCAGCGTTCTCCCTGCCGGCCACAGCTGGTCCAATTCCTACTGTGGAAGTACAAACAGGACAAGAAAAAATGTAAGTGAGTTCCACGTAGGCATGAAATACTCCATTATCACATA